TGAAAAGATGCTCAACATCATTAGCCATTGGAGAGATGCAAATCAAAACCACAATGAAATATCACCTTACCCATTAGAATGGCAGTGATAAAAAACAAAACATAAAACAACAACTGTTAATAAGGTTGTGGAGAAACTGGACCCCTCATCCATTGCTGGTGGGAATGTAAAATGGTACAGCTGCTATGGAAAATAGTTTGGTGCTTCCTCAAAATGTTGACTGTAGAACTACCATATGACCCAGAAATTCCACTCTTAAGTATATACCCAAGAGACTTGACAACAGTGACATGAACAGACATATGTACACCAATGTTCATTGCAGCACTGTTCACAATAGCCAAAAGGTAGAAACAACTGAAATGTCCATCAACAGATGAATGCATACAGACACAATGGAATATTATGCAGCTGTAAAGAGAAATGAAGTTCTTATGGATGCCACAACCTGGAGGAACCTCGAAAACATGCTGAAAGAAATACATCCGTCGCAAAAGGACAAATACTATATGATTTCACTTATATGAAATAAGCAAATATATATAAACCAAAGATTATTAATGGTTACCAGAGTGGGAGGGAGGGAGTAAGGGGGAGTTTTGTTTGGGGGGTGTTGAGTTTATGTTGAAGGTGGTGGAATATTTTGGAAAAGAGTAGTGATAATGGTGGTACAACATGAAAAATGTAATCGATGTTGTTGAATTGTAAATGTGCAAGCTGTACTGGTGAATGTTTTGGTATGTACCTTTTCACCACAATGAAAAAAATGAAAATTGAAAAAAGATGAGGACTGTTGCAAAAACATTTCTCTCTAGGTTAGCTGGTATGTTGAAATTACACAGGACAGTGGCTAGTGGCTTATTCATTAGAATGAGGAATTCAGAATATGGTAGTTACAAGAGACATTACTGGTAAAGGGGTTTGTTACAAGAGGTCTTTCTTGTAAGATAATGCTATAACATGAATTATAGAGAGGTGCCTAGGTATCAAAATAAAGGCCAAGTCACCTCCCTGCTTTAAACGAAAGCAAGAAAAATTATCTAAATC